CGAGGACGCGTGAGTCCGGGACCACGGCAGCAGGCCAGCGTGGGGTGAACGAGGCTGCTCTGACTGGCACGGATGGCCGGAAGTGAGGGTGTCAGGAGGAGGGTCGAGAGTCAGGCCAGGACCAGGTTTGGAGGCATGAGCCTGGCAAGGCCCTCACGGAGGTCTGCAGGCCGAGTGCCCTAACCACCATGTCACCTGCTGGTCCCACATGGCTTGGCTTACATCTTAAAGTCACCTCATGGCCCAAAATAGCTGCTCCAGTGCCAGCCTTCGCATCCTCCTTATAGCTAGTAGAAAAGAGGAAGGGAGGAAGAAGATAAAGAGGCAAAAGGCCCCATTGCCTTTCCTCTCTAAATATCTCTATTGAAATGATTTAATTCGCATGCCACAAAATCCACCCCCGTAAAGAACACAACTGAGTGGCTTTTAGCGTATGCACAGAGATGTCGGCCATCACCACAAAGTTTAGAGCATTTTCATCACTCTACAAAGAAACTCATAATCATCAGCCTGACTCCCCCTTCCTCGCAGCCCTAGGCAAGCTCCAGCCTACTTCTTGTCTTTATAGAACTGTCTGCTCTCGGCATTTTGGATGCATGGGCTCACGGGATGTGATCTTTAAGTCTGTTTTTCTTTTCTTTTTCTGGAGAAGTTTTTGCTATAGAATGCATGAGCTCGCCAGAAAGAGAGACAGAGAGATAGAAAGTGAGAAATCACCCCCCGGGGGGGTTGGCCACACTGCAATCCCTTCTCCTCCATTCTCCTTTTGGGATCTTGGGCATGCACGCACATGCGGCTGGCATGAGTTTGAGCCACCGGGTCCAAGACTCGAACCGTGGTCAACTATGTGGGAATCCAGTGACGTAGCCATTATGCCACCTGCTGGTCCCTTTGAGTCTGTTTTCTTTTTTAAAATTTGCTATAGTGTTTATGCTCAACCGAGAGAGAAAAAAGGGAAGTGAGAATGCACCCCGGGGGATGCCCACATGGCAGTCCCGTCTCCTTCATTCTCCCCTCAGGCTTCTGGGCACATCTGCACATGTACCTAGCATGGTTTCCAGGCCACTGGGTCCAGGACTCAAACTATGGCAGTTAGCCATGTGAGATCTGGCCACCCTAACCACCAGACTGGCCCTGGTTAGCATTCTGAAGGGATTACAAGCTGTCCTCCCAAGCAGCTGGGGCCGACGGGGAGCTGGACACCCCCACCCACAGCCTCTCCTCAGGGAACTGAACCTGGACGCCGAACCTGCAGCTGCCGAGTGCCGGGCTGGCCCCCACAGCCCAGGCCTGGCGCTGCAGCTCGTCACGGGCCGTGTGTCTTCCAGCCTACGTGCTGCCGGTGAAGCTGGAGGTGGAGCTGGTGGCCCAGCAGTACGAGAAGGCCAAGGCCATGCAGGACGAGCAGCTGGAGCGGCTGACGCGGATCTGCCAGGAGCAGGGGGTAATGAGCCATCCTGTCCCGTCCCCTCCTGCCCTCCCAGGACCTCCCGTGGTGACCCATCATCTCCCAACCTGCCCAGGCCTCTGGTCATCAGCGCCTTCTCAGGAAAGGGTTTCTGAAGCAGGGCCGGCACCGCCGTGTGACAGCCACCACCCAGGTGCCCAGACACCCCCAAGAAGCACTAGCAATGCCCTCTGCCCTCCAGGAGCCCTGATGAGACCCAGAGACGGTGGTGGGCCTTGTGAGGACAGGTCCAGCAGAGGCCAGGGGCTCCCTCCCCCGGGGCTCCGGCCATCAGTGCCACCCTCTGCCCTCAGCTCCTCCGTCTGTAGGCAGAGCGGGTGCTTGCATGTTTGGGCCCCCCCTCAGGGTCTCAGTGGAGGGGCTGGGGCTCATCGGGGGTGGCGCTAGGTCCTGCAAGACCCCGAAGCTCTGCGCAATCAGCCCCGGGTGCAGGGAGGTCCTGGCACCAGGCTGTGAGGTGGGAATGCCCCCAAGGGACCAGCAAGGTGGGGGCGTGGAGGTAGCATTCCGGCCCTGGCTGCGGCAGGGAGTAGGGCCACGGCCCTGCCTCCACGAACTGGATACGCCAGGCCCACTCAGCGCCAGGCCAGCACGGTTACGGGGGGGGGGGGGGGCGGCGCC